GAGATGAATTTAAGGATTCCGTCAAGGTTACAGAAGAGTGTCTTCATCAATGGTAAAAAATCTGTAGAGAATGGAGGAACCATCACTTTTCAAGAAATAATTCTGATCTTTTTCTTTCTTTGTCAATCGATTGCATCCAACTGAAGTCCGCAGCCAAATTTGAGATCATGACTGAAATGACAGTTAAAGGATGGAAGGAACCAGAGGAGTAAATCTACTTCTCCATTGATGCTGACCAACATCACCAAATACTGTACCACCTACGATGTCGCCAAATTCTGCACACTTTTTCAACATTCCAATACTGCATTTCTGTCATCCTTTGGTGATGCAATCATTGCTGATTCTAAAATTTTCCACTAAGAATTATTTATTCAGTTTAAAGCAGAAAGCTGAATAAAAAAAAGTGAGGGGGGGCTTTTGGCAGGGGGGCTTTTGACCTAGGGGGGCTTTAGGCAGGGGGGGCTTTTGACCTAGGGGGGGCTTTTGGCAGGGGGGGCTTTTGGACTACACCCGTTGAGAACCCGAGGGCGGTTTTCGTATCAGCGGATCTTTTTTTTCTCGCAGCGAGATTTTCTCAGAACCCTAGCAAGCAAACCAAAGTGTCAGAGCAGAAACAACAATTTCAAATTAAGGCAAACAACGGATCGCAACAAGATGTTTAATCCGATTGGTTCGCTATTCTCTTTTTTTTTTGTGCGTGCAGAATTCAGCGAAAAATATCCAATAATTAATTGCATACCCAGGTTAAAAAAAAAACAACAAATATGTATACCGTAGAAATTGGCAGATTAATATCAGTAGAGAGCAGAGACCGAATATTCGATGCTCGTATGTGTTCCGGGTTCGGTTGGTTTAGCAAGTGTCGCAGTCGAGATCGAGTAAACGGAAACCGGAACCCGTTCCAGCGCTCGGCTCTCTGAAGACATCGACACTCGACAATAGACCTACCCCGTATAACCCCCCTTTTTTCAACATATAAAAAAACTGCAGTGCTTCAGGGAAGAATAAAAAGAAAAAACGAAACAAAACAACGTGGAAGGAAGCATATAGTGAAAAAGAGAAGATCAAGCAGCAGCATATTCACGTACAAGGGCAGAAACCGTCGCAGTATTGGGTTGTGTGCTCTTCTTTTTCTTTTCTTTTTTTGTTTCTCATATCTGTATTTTTTTTCTTTTTTCAGTGGGGGCCGCAGTGAGCATATAACCCGTGTGTGTTTCGCCGTTTCCGTATTATATGCACGGCCCGTTGGCCGAACGTCAGATCCGAATAAGATGGATCACCGCCGCCATCTCCTGACAACACACATGTTCCCCCCGCTTGCAGCCGCACTCGCAAAAGGAGCTCCGTGGCGGCGGTGGTGTGTGTATATATACTATCGTCCTGATGAGAGAGAGAGAATGGGAAAAAGAACGAGAGAGAGAGAGAGAGAGAGGTAGACAAGCCTGCGGCAGTCGCTTCAGGACTCCCCACTTTTGATTTCCTCCCCCCCCCGAAACCCCTTTTCTCTATACATTATACTGATCTCATATAACCCTCCAATCTCGGAGAACTCAGCTCAACGTGAAAGAACTCGGCGCGCAATTGTCCTGGTGCACAAAGTACAGTATTGTTTTTCTGCGAACGTTTCGGTGAATCATCATGTCCAAAATAATTCATGGTTGCTTTTAGCTAGCTTATTGGCTGATTATGTTCTAATAATGACGAGGCGCACCAAAATTTTACGAATTTGCACAAAAAGTTTTCTTTTAAATTACTGCAAAAGATGAGAACGCCAGTTTTTGAGCTTAGTTTTTCGTGGGAAAGGTGCAGTTAGTAATTCAGCAAATGCGGTACAGTGAATCACTTCGTTTCTGTTATGTAATGGATGGATACCGTATTTAAGGAACAAATGATTTCTGCGTGGTACTGAACATCGGTGAACGGGTCAAAAAAAAAAAAGATAGTGGTAAAGACCTTTCAGAAAACAAATTATTATTCTGAGTCATGCAGGAGTCATATAGGGGCAAAAAAGAGGAAAAATACACTTTCTTTTGGAGCCAAGTATCTTCATCCATGAGCAATAATCATGCAAGCAAAACTTGCCATGTGAAAATTTTAAATTCAATATCTTGAAAAACCACGGAAGCTTATGGAGGGACAGTGTTTTTGTCAAATTTTGCGCAATTTAGGCTCGCTTTTTACTCAAGGGTTTCTGGTACTCAGGTATAAATACAGGTTTTTCTGTTGAAGGTTGGGTAATATTCATGGAAAAATATTGTAAATTTTAAATCAAAGATTATCGTAGAAAATTTAAGATAAAACGGAAAAAGCTAGATGGAAACAAGCGAATATTGAATCTGTAATCCCCAATTTCCGTGGGCTGTCGTCACCCCAGGCAAAAACTGTAACTCGGGATTGAATCAACAGTACTGTAATTTAAAAAAATAATTTGACAACTTGATTGCTACCTGCTGGGTTCCTCAAATGCCTCGGGAATTGGTCCTCGAAAGGATAAACCGTGAATAAAAGGAATTTTAAAGTATTGCTGAATACTGATTGCATGGATCCACCCGGATTGGTCCCCATAAGCAGAAATGATCCCGTTTTTTAAGTTGTGGTTGTTAAAATATTTCTATGATTTATTATAAACTTTTTCAGCGCTTAGGAACTTGAACATTCCAAAGATTCGGATTCAAACGCCTTAGATTGATGATAGGAAACTCAGACAAGGGCACCTAGTACTGCACTAATGGTACATGAAATATTTCCAAAATTCGAGCGGGACATTTTCCTAAACGCCTCAACATTGGAATGCCCGGTCAATGTTTAGAAATCTCTTAAAAATACACGCCGATCTTGGACAAGAAAATGTCTGTGGTTCTTTACTAATAAATGCCATGAAACGTGCTTTATATTTGAACTAAGTGAATGAGGAAAGCTATCCGTCTTCATCTGAAGTACGCTAATCTGGTTTCCTGCCACTGTCAAGAGCAGGATTCAATTTGCGTTCCAGGCGGTCACATAATTCGATTCCAATGCGACAGATGCAGTTACACACCGACCTACTCTTATTTCAGCGCGACGAAAACCCTCTCTTCGCATTGCAATTTCTCGAAAACACGTTGGGTATGATGCCAAACACCGGTTCCGCAAAATACGAGGCGAACAGACGTAAAGCGAAGCACCGTGGTTGCAGACCTGCCGGTGGATGATCAAAATAAGAGCGACATCTATGTACACAATGCTCAGCAAGAGCGAGCGCTTCGAAACGCCGATTTGAACGTTCACGGTCCATTTCTTTCACACGACAAAAATAACCAAGAATAAATCAACAGTTCTGTTGTTTGGACAAAAAAAAATTTAATTTCATAGAATGCAAACAAAAAAGTCGGGTTGTAACATTCAAGTCACTGCTAGAACACTTCAGATCCATCTTTCAGAAAATCCCAAGTAATTGGATTGATTCATCACACAACATTCTCTGTGCCGCGACACAATAACTTCCTTGGACGAAAACTATTTCAAATAACTGGTAAAAACCAATAAGGCACAAAAATTCCTTTAAAAATACCCTGCGCAATTGCTGGATGCAAACCTCTAAAAACAATTCTTCAGTAAAGAATTGTGTGGTTTTTTTTGTTATGTTTAGGCTAAGAATCAGCTTCTTTTAAGTCTTAACCCAACTTTTTTAGGTAACCTCTCTTTTATAGTCCTGTGTATATTACTATGAAGAAACTAGGACGAACAAAAGTTTCTTCGGAAGGCAAATCATGTAATATATTTCTTGGATTTTAAATACAGTATCCTAGGAATTTTTGAATATATTATTGTGTCCCTCTCTTCGTAAGATTTACACTACCTTTGTTAGCACTTTATTTGAGAACTGCATCTAATATTCCGACATCTTTCCTCATATGTTCTTCAACTGGAGACAGCCTAAATGAAGACAAAAGATCACAAGAAAGTCAAATAAAAACCCCCGGGCATAAAAAAAAAATTCACACAATCCAAGCACAGCACTACCAGTTGTGTTGGTAGTAAGCCGAATAGTCGTACCCAGGGTAAGCCTGGGGGTAATTGCAGGAATTCGGATAATTCTCCGGCCAACGAGTCGCCTCGACAGTCGGCGCCGGGTTCGCGGGTTCGACTTCGGGTTTCTTGGCGACCGGGGTTGCCACCGGACGGGATTTGGAGAGAACCTCGAGATTCCAGTCACGGTGACACCCACGGAAATGGGGCCCGACATTGCAACCCCGATGATACGGGGTTTTCGAGGATTCGCTGAGAGACGAAACGCAACGAATCCGAAGCGCACCGCCGCCTTCTTGTCGGGTGTCGACGGGTTTCAGTTCTGGGACTGGATTTGATACGGGTTTCGCTTCTGGGGTTGTGGCAGACAGCTCTGGGGTTTCGTCTGAAAATTTAGAGAATGAACGGATTTACGGTTTACTGAAGGATTTCAGCAGAAATACATGCGTTTTAAATGCAAGGATAAAAAAGCTAGTTTCAACAAGAGCCATTTTTCCAAAATGTGAAAGTGCATGTTGAATGTGAAATCTGTGAGTCAAATATTTCTTTACGCGCATTGTATTGAAGACCTTATGTCATTAATCCGAAAGGAAACTGAGAATTTGAGGATCACAAAATTTAAACGTGTGATTTTGAAGAACTTGGTGCTCTTGCACACCTCCACGAAGGGTGCAATTTTTTTCTCCTTCGAAAATTCCATTTTGTAGATTATAGTGAAATTGAAACAGGTTTAATCTGCGATTCATACCAGTTCTTAGTATTAGTGAAATGAAACTTGGATTGTGAATCACTTGCAGTGATGCTTCAAGTTTTGACGGCGACCATCGAGTGGAAGAATATCGCCTGGGATCACCAATTAATTCCAAAAATTGTCTCATTTATTTATTCAAAATATCTGCGGATTTTTATTTGCTTGCGCGTTAAACTTATATATAAATTCTTATAAGAAGAACAAAATAACACTCACCAGAAGCTGGTTGGGGACTGTTGCTGTTCACGAGTCCTGTGCTCGGCGATGACTTCCCGGATTGCACGGCTTTCTTAAACTTCATTCGTCGATTTTGAAACCAAATTTTAATTTGTCTCTCTGTCAAATCCAGCTCAGCAGCCATCTCTAATCTTCTAGGCTTGCACAAGTACCGGTTGAAGTGAAATTCCTTCTCTAATTCCACCAACTGAGCGGAAGTATATGAAGTTCTCGCTCGCTTCGTCGAGTTCTCGCCATCTGCAAGTGAAACATAATAATAATAATATTTCATTAAATCAAAAAACCAATACATATCTGAAAAGTTTACTCAGATATGTGCGAGTTCATTTTTATGTGAGTTTCATTTCGCTTTCTGAGAAATCTACTTGGTCGGCTAGTCGCTAAACCGCCGGAACAACGGTTTGGCGCAACGCTTAGCCGCAGCGCTGCACTAAGATACTCAGCCAGACTAAAAGATCCCATGAAACTTCACACCGGGTTCCATGGGAAAACAAACTTTTTTCTTTCTCAGTTGTTCCTGATACTTTTTTTTTTCTTTCTTTCGAAGTGTCCATGACCACAGGGTTCTAATTACGGTTCCCATGATGGGGTTAGTAGTACACTAAAAAAAATAAAAGATGAGAAGATGCCAACATTGGAACCTGATCAGCGTTTCTGCAGATAACAGTGCGATGTCACTTCAAAGCACCGCAAGGATAGCTTTATTGTGTGGAAAAATTTAGCAGTTTTGCGAAATAAGAAAAGAATCCTAGCTTGACGTCGGCAAAATTTCTTTATAATTCAATCACCGCTCATTTCTTTGAAGAAAAGTGTTTTTTTTTTCGTCGAAAAAAAAAAGAGCCGAGCAGCTTAGTGGGAAAGAGGACAAGCACCCTTAACCTCTGCCCCGTAGTGGTCACGATTTTCAAAAAGGTACAGACTTAATCCAACTTCTATTGGATAAATAAGTACATGGTATGCGTGGGAAAAAAACTCAAAATTGAAAGGAGAAACGGGGGCAATCATGATAGATGGATATACATTTTTCAGAAAGGTTTAAAAGTTTAGGTCTGCAATATATATTCAATTATAATCGGAAATTTTGGACCAATTTTCACGATGAAACTTATGTTAAATAGGAACGTAATTGAAAATTAGTTGAATTGAGAAGCAATTCGTGTCTAAAATCAAAATTGGTTCGTAAAAGTGATGTTTGCGCCTTTTCCTTGAGGATACAATTTTATAAGAAATTTTGACTGAAAGCACTTCGTCTTAATTAACGGCGTGTGGTAGTGAATACGGTAGTTCAGTTTTATTATTATCATTTGCCTGCAAAAAAAATCAACCTTGATTTTGTTTGCAGTACAGGTGAACTCAAAAGCCTTGCAAAATTAATTGTTCCAGTTTCATGTATGAAGTTGCTAATCATAACACCTGTATTTAGACACAGAGTTCAAAATCAAGTGAGAACTTATTTGGTGAACCGTTTGAATGTTTTGACGACAAATAAGAAAACCGCGAGGGGCTAAAAATTATGCAAAGAAACAATGAATTATAAGTATTGCAACATCGCATGTACCTATACTACCTAACATATATTTTTAATATTCATATATTGAATAAACATTGTATTTAATATTCTGCCTGTATACATGTAAAAGGTATGATATACACTGCGTATACAATTTAATGATTTTATGCTTATAATATATTTATTTTATGTGTTCATATATTAAAAAATACTCTATTTAATACTCCGTCTGTTTGGTACGCACAAAAGTGAAGATGGAAACTCACCCAATTGTTCGTAAGGAGTCGGAATAACCGTCTTGTTCTGTGCTGTCGATGTGACAATCGCGACACTTTTAGTTGCACAACCCGGAGAATTATTGGCGACACTAGCTGTTGAATTGCGAAACTCCGTCATCCACGGATAAACCGGTGTCGAATCACCCTTTCTCCTGTTCGTGGGAATTGGAGACGGGGCATCACCAGTGCTAAAAGTTTTTCCATGTCTGAATTAGGTTGAAGATAACCTATTTATTCATGTACCATACGCACCCTTTTTTTTCTCAAAATTGAAAGGAGAAACGGGGGCAATCATGATAGATGGGTATACAGTACATTTTTCAGAAAGGTTTAAAAGTTTAGGTTTGAATTATATTCAATTTTAATGGGAAATTTCGGACCAATTTTCACGATGAAACTTATGGTAAATAGGAATCTAATTGAAAATTAGTTGAATTGAGAAGCAATTCGTGTCTAAAATCAAAATTGGTTCATAAAACTGATGTTTGCGCCTTTTACTTGAGGATACAATTTGACTGAAAGCATTTCGTCTTAATTAACGTCGCGTGGTAGTGAATACGGTAGTTAAGTTTTATCATCATTTGCCATCAACCTTGATTTTTTGCAGTACAGTACAGGTGAACTCAAAAGCCTTGCAAAATGAATTGTTCCAGTTTCATGCATGAATTTTCACATGATTATTCTTTTTACACAGAATTCAAAATCAAGTGAGAACTTGTGTGAAGAACAGTTCGGATGTTTTGACGCCAAATAAGAAGAAACCCATGCGAGGGGCTAAAAATTATGCAAATAAACGCCGAATTAAAATGATGTGTATATCTAATATATATTTTTGATATTTATATACAGAATAAATATTCTATCTAGTATTCTGCCTGTACATGTACGAACAAGGTATGATATATACTGTGCATAAAATTTAATGATATATCGTATTGTATATACAGTAATATTGCATGTTTTATTATTTATGCATTAAAACTACTTTATTTACTATTCCGCCTGATTGGTACCCACAAAAGTAAAAATGGAAACTCACCCAATTGTTCGTAAGGACAGCCTTATTGGCAGAACAAGACACGACAGCTACACTGTTAGCGCTGTGAAAATCAACGTGTTGGGCCTCTTAATAACCGCTGTGATCGACAACTTAACGCTTTGAGGCAGTAGGTGCCTATTTGGCCTTTTTGCACCTGATTTCCGTTCGATTGCCAATAATTCTGCGACACATTTGACTCTGCTGCTTGAAGACCGGCACTTCCGAAGTAATGGTGCCCGTAATAGCCGAGTCCTGGGTGGGATTGTTGAGGAAGTTGCGGATTTTTCGTGTAGTCATAACCGGAAGCAGGTTTGGCGTGGTATGTCGGATATCCGACATGGTGGCTGGACATCAAAGGTGCTTCTTCAGTGCAAGGCATGCTGTTGGTGTTTGTTCCAGCAATTGTTCCAATGATGGGTTCCGTTTGGCCGGTGTTTCGAGCACAACTGTTGAGCACTCTTTTGCTTATTGATTTGGGTCTCACTGTAGTTAAGAAAAACATGGAAATTTTTATCAATGATCATAATTTGAATAGACAGCTAAGGTACAATACCCCAAGAAAACTGTGCAGATTATTATATTTATGTTCAGGCTCTTCAGACAGACGCGATGAATTTGAAAGTTGGGGTGCATTGCTGATCTGGAATTTTGTTAAAGCATCGCATAATTTGATTCGCTGTTGTTTTCGTTATAATTTGTTTTCGTTATTTCTACGGTTCCAAAAGACACTGATGTATGTTCATATTTATTCACTTGTGGCCCAAAATTTACTGACTGAATTTCAATACGGTAGAAACACACTTTTTCACGCTTGAATTTTCAATGCACTCAGTTCTGCAGACCGACCAAATCTTTGAAATTGCTATAAATGTTCTTGAAAGACAATACTTATTAAATAAGTTCACATTTGATTTGATGCTGCTCATTTAAAATAGAATAAAATTTTATTGACGCACCAACATTAAGTTGAGTAACGTTCAATAACGTAATTTGAGCTGAATTTATAATCTGCGCTATACAGTATTCATTCAATCACTTTCAATCAGATCAAAACAATATGCTCCTTTCTCTTCCTTTTTTTGGAAATTTAGCCCGCGTTTGAATTAATATTCTCTAATATTCAAGATCTGTATTTGATTTGGTCGAATGTTAATCAAATCTCACTGGGTTCGCTGCGAAAAATCACTGGTGGAAAATTGGGACCTTTCTGGAATCCTCCCTGGGGCGAAGTGAGGACCAGGGACTGTGCTTGGAAGGACTGTCATTTGCAAGTGAACCCAAGTTGTTCACGGCGTGGGCGTTTTCACAGGGTACAATAAAACCCGGTCGAGACGCCCCCGCCCCCCAAAATAAGCCGCCACCTTCCATCGGGGCTCGGCGGTCCCCGATGGCGACCGGCGCCGATTTCATTTCAACGCATTTAAATCGGCGGCTGCCAATTTCATTCGAAAAACAAATCTTACCCAATGAAATTCATTCTTTTATAAGTAGCAAAATGTTGTACAATGTGGCGCTTCCTAGAAATTTGGAAAAATATAATAATTTTATCTGTATGAATTCGTATGTTCAACATGTATGCTTTTCATTCTACCATAATAACTTCTTATGAGATTGCATACAGTACAGCATAACAGCATTCAGGAATAAATGCTTAAATGATGGCTATACTTAATAAAGTTGAAATTAATTTCTACTGGGTTTCAGGACTTCAAAATTCTCAATGCATCTTTCAGTGAAATTATTACTATCTTTAAGTAAGCCGCAAAATATTTTATTTTATCTTACTGGCTCTAAAAGACGCATAGGGGGTTTAAAAATATGACTCCTCTCGTTTTCATAATAAATTCAATTTAGATTTCTATCTTTCTGACGTCTCTTTTACTAAGATCGCTGGAAGGACAGTTCTGCACCCTTAAAACCTCGACAACTTTGCATCAATAAAACTTTAAAATGTGTGAAATAAATATTTTCAACTGCTGCATGCAGTATTGAGCACTGGATCGTATTTTTTCCAAGAACCTAAGATTTTTGAATTTTTTGTGACTTCATTATTCTAACCCAAAACCGTGTGCAGAATATTTTTCCCATGTGCAGTAACACACTTTCATGCTTGAATAACTTCATCACCTCCCAGTATTTTCAACTCATTCCTCATCTCACGTTCTTGGGTGAATGAATGGATAGATGAATGAATGAATGAATGAATGAAATAACGGATGAATGAATTAAGCAAGAGATTTAGGCTGCATCAGCAGCTCTGATTACTCTCCTGGAAGTAACCCCGGCAACCTTCAATGAATGACGCATTCCAGGCGGATTTTCCCATGTGTTTCCCGCGCCAGAGGCTTTCATTCAAACTCCTCGCCCGCGGAATATTCTCAGGAGTCTTCGAAGGTTACGTGACGCTTGTCTTCTTATACCTCCCACAGGAAAATAGGAGACAACAATAAAAAACACCAGAAGCCAGGTCAGTTGCTGGGATTCGGAGGGGGAGGCTCAGCAGTCCAGGGTCCCACCGGCGCCAAGGGATTTGGCAGAGTCATAAGCCAGGATTAGCGGGGACAAAAAAGGCTGAAAGCCAGTTTGCAAGCAGTGCTAATCGGCAGACGAAAGCCTTTCCCACAACAACACACCAACAATGATCCCAGGACCGGATAACTGCATATGGACAGGTCACAATTGGACGCGCGGGTGTGATGTCCAGACACCACCACCGCGGGCGTGGAAAATTTTGGCGACTGTCGTTTATTTTTCAGGCAAATTTATTTCATTTTATTTTCTATATTCACCAAATGTTTCTCTCATCAGGAATTTCATCAGATTTCTTCTCGCCGCTAAATATTCCGACAATTTGAAAATTTTTTTCCTAGCATTGTGTTGCCGATTGGTTGTCGGCAGCGGTACTTCGACGATTTCTGGAGTTGGGATGTTTTTTATAATTTTTTGCATTATTTACCTTACATTTTTCATGTAAGGTGTACAGAGGGTAGAATCTTCTTCAAGCACAATATGCTGTTTTCATTATTATGCTATCACAATTGAAAAGCAAAATATCTATTTTTTTTTTTTGTTTGCATTATTTACCTTACATTTTTCATGTAAGGTGTACAGAGGGTAGAATCTTCTTCAAGCACAATATGCTGTTTTCATTATTATGCTATCACAATTGAAAAGCAAAATATCTATTTTTTTTTTGCTTGGAAATAATTCCTGCTCATTCCTGGTCTGAAATAAAGCTTCGTACCGCATTTTATATTCGGGTGTAGTCCAAAAGCCCCCCCTGCCTAAAGCCCCCCTAGGTCAAAAGCCCCCCCTGCCAAAAGCCCCCCTAACTTTTTTTTTGTAATTGGATGCAAGTTTCTCCTCAATCACAACATATACGTTCATTCTTGACTATCACTGAAAAATATTTCACAGACAACACAAATACATTGATTGCATCACAACTATAAGCTTTTAGACAGAAGTTATTGCATCAAAAGTCAGATAGAGTTTGGTTTCTGCCTCCTTGGTGCGGAATTCAGGGATTTGCATTCTTAACCATAACTGCACCTTTCACCAGCATGAAAGGTGCTGGTGATTGCCCTATGACCAGTTCTGTCGGGTTGCGCCGGGGCTACTTTGTAGCCCCCTCGTAGCGTATTTGCAAAGGCTCTCAGAAACTGGTGCCTGGCACCGAGAAGTACGGAAGCGCCTGCTACCGTCCATGGGATTTTCACCTGCTACCTCAAAAACGGGTTTCAAAACTTGCACAAGAAAAAGTTGTAGAGGAAGCCAGCAATGACCAGTATGGTCACTTGCTGACTTCATCTCAGAAGGGAAGCATCTCCAAGTTGTGCTGATTATTCTGACTGTTTGGTTTAAGGTTCTGATCTGTCATTTTGTGATTGTTATAGTGCTGTGTCCATCTCTGTTTGCCTGACTGTTTGTTGGAGTATCTATTAAAACTTGACTGTTCTTGGGACTCCTGTAAGGAGGATCCAGCCTCGTAAAGGCTGGTTGCCCTGTTCATTTATTTTGTAAAACCTTTGTGTTTCCGGCACCACAAGTTTTTTGCCAAATTGGTCATATTCAACAAGAGTCCAAAGAACACCACATTGTTGCTGAAGAAGGAGATGAGATAAGAGGGCCACTTCAAGAAGAAAATGACATGGAGAGCATCAATGACAGCCAGGAAGAGGCAGAAGAAGGCAATTTTGAAGACAATAATTAAACAGTCTGTTTGTTCACTAATGAAACCAAACTCTATCCAACTTTTGATGCAATGACTTCTGACTAAACTGTTATTGTTGTGATGCAATCAATGTATTTGTTTTGTCTGTGATAGTCAAGAATGAACACATACGTTGTGATTGAGGAGAAACTTGCATCCAACATTTTATATTAAGTGGGGGGGGGGGGCTTTTGGTTGGGTACCGGATTTTCTTGGGTGGGCCCAGGTTTAAATTTTGTTGAAGGCCATGAAAGCCCAGCCAGGTGGCCTAGGGCAAAGTTGGACTTTATCTGGCAAAAATGTGTTGTTGTGATTTCCCGAAGTTGGACTTTTTCTGCTAATCTTGCCAAACAATTTTCTCCAGGAGAATACAAGATTAATCTTTATTAACTGCATACTTGTTACTTATTAACTGCATACTTGTCACTCATTAACTGCATAATTGATCTTTATTAACTGCTGGTTTCATGACTTTTGAACTGATAGACAAGTTGGAAACCCAACAAACTACAGGAATGCCACTGAAACAGATATATGCTCTTTTATAATGCACACAATCAATAATAATGCACTACGTTTTTCTGCTAGAAGAAAACTGCAGTAATGAAACCTGCGAAAATAAGGATAAATTCAAAATTTATAGTAAATTTAATAGAACACAGCCTTATGAAAGCAAAATGTATGGGGGATTTCTGTTTCCTGGAAAAACAGTTGTGGAACACATTGTTAGCAACCATTCTGTCACTTTTTTGGCGCATTCTTCTATCATGAGCATGTTTATTAGCAAGGTTTATTTGAATGCAAAACCAGTTTGGTTACAGTTGGAAATACAGAAGCTCAACTTTTCTGTTGTCAAAAATGTTTTTGTTCTTTTGATTTGCTTATGTCACAATAAGACAAATGTTTTACTTTGTCTGCAAACTGACCGGAGTCAAACTGGAAAATCTTTAAATCTTTGATGAAAATAAGGCAAAATCTCCGACACACATTTACTTTTCACCAACAAAGTACACTGAATAAGACATGGAAAACACCCAGCCCCAAATTTTGTGAATGTAGCAAAAAGCATGATAAATCAGGTTTTCTTGCCATTTGCATTTCTTTCCAATAAATTTGTTGAGACTTTGCAATGCTCTGTAAATTTTTTCTGCAAGACTTGATCAAATGTTGTAGCATTGCAACAGTAAAACAAGTGAGGGAAAAATCCTTGACAAGTAAGAGATTTGAATGCTTGTAAAAAAATTCACAACAAAAGCTTGCAACAAAATACGTAATTATCTGAGCTTGAAATAAAACACTCAATCAGCTGGGCTGTGGCTGAGTTTAAGATGTTGTATTTCTCTTTTTGGAAGATAAAGAACAATCTAGAAAACCTAAACAGTTTTGAACAGCAGAGACTGAAAACAGGCCTTTTGGAAAACATAAATGCAAGATTGAGACAACAAGACTGTTGCAACATCTGTTTGATGCAAATGCTGAGACTTGATTGATTTCAGTTGCTGGTCTGAGATGACCATGAAAACTATTTCAATGGAGAGTATGAAAGAAAAGGTCCTTTGTGAATTACAAGGATTTCCCAAAATAGTTCTTGAAGGTCAAAACAGTACTTGACGAAGATCATGGGAACCCAAGTCCCACAAGATTCCTTGGGAGATTAGCTGTTTTGCTGATTCCTGCAAATCCATGTTTCTAAACACCCCTTTCTTCAATTTTCAACAAAACAGAGTAATGAGATGCAACATTGGACATTATTATTAGATGAAAGAAAATAACCCAAAGTGTCAACTGTGCTCAATTGGAAAACACCCCCTGGATCAGGTTTAGCATTTTCTTGAAATTTGTAGACAAAACTGTTTAAAATCAAAATTATTGCACATCATGTTTGATGAAGAGCAAGTCATGTTCCCTGATTACTTTCTTCAGCTCATATCCCCTAGGTTTAATTCAAAGCAAGAGAGGGAAGGAAGAAAAAAGAGGATTGAATTTTCAAATGAGTGAAATGTTCAATCAGCTAATCTGAGGCTAGGGTTTTAAGAATCCTGGTTCAATATTGGTATGATTTAGAAAATTTGAAGGAATGCTCACAAAGTTTCACAAAAATCAAACTGAAAATAAAATTGTAAACAGTCAACAGATATGCCCTCTCACAAGATCAGGTTTTTGGCTTCACTCCAAAGATCTGCTCAGGACAAATGCA